ATATGGGGCTACAATTCCACAATCACGGTGAGCAGTGCTTGATAAATGAAATGTTCTAATATCACTGGATATCTATATAAATATAATAGTACACTCTGACGTCTGTCCATGTAACTACTTCACAGGGTGTGGATGAATATTCATCAAAATTGATATAGAGGTTCATTAGGGCCATGGGGAGATACATACAAATTTTCAGTTTTGCATTTTGCATATTTTGTGGGCATTTTTTTTACCACTGCTTTGCCCCCTGTAGATGGATCTTCACCAAATTTGGCATGAAGGTTTGTTGGGTCCGGGGGGAGATACATACAAATTTTCAGTTTTGCAATTTCCAATTTTTATGGGTGTTTTTTAGAATTACATATAAGGGTAGCAACTTTTCATGTCTTAAGATAACCTTTCATTAATCATGAATTTACATCCATCCAGTAGATTAATATGCTATTAAATGATAAGCTGTGCTTGATAAATTAAATTTTCTGATATCACTGTGTGTGTAGATTAACATGTTACTACATGTGGATATAATCCACACAACATGAAATATTAGTAGCAAACATCAGAAAATCAAAAATATACAGTATACAGAACAATACAGTCACATTTCAGTTGCAATACTCGATGGATCATACACATCCGTTATGTAACGAAATCACACTTTGACCATATGTTGTACACATTTACCTATCAACAGAAACAACTATTCCAAATATCTTAGTTCACATGTCAGCAGTATAAACTTTCTAGGGTAGGGCAAGAAATGTGTTAATATGGGGATTATCCAGCTAAGATAGGATGGTTAGAAAGTTGGAATGTACCTCGTGAGCACAAAGCTGACCAGCAGAGTTGCAATCGTTCAAACAAAACTAAGCATAAGCAGCTATTTCTTGTCAAATATACACACAAGAGTAATATGGTACCGTTTTCTCATTATATTTAAATCTGATATATAACTGTATAATTTTTTTTATAAATTCAAACACTTAGGCATTCATAGTGTTACCAACTTATTTTTGGCATCATTATTTTAACACTGCAGAAAAACTTGTTTAATAGATATATTGTTGTAGGCCATCTTTATAACTTAGATATCTGTGCTAACATTTGTTAGAACGGGTTTTGACATGATTAGCACGTAGCTCAATGTCTGGAATTTTCTTGAAAGTTTAGGAATATATGTAAGTTATGCTAAAGTAAAGGTTGTTAACTGATCATTGAGTTAGTCAGTTAGTTAGTTCAACACTAAATTTTAATTTAGTATTTTCCACAAAGTAATAGAGATACAAGAAGTACCATACATATGAGTAAATTAAATGGAATTTTTATCGAGATGGTATGTCTGAAGTTAGCCCTTTCATTAGTTGCAATAAAATTGTACAAGTTATTAAACTGGTAACTGATGATTAAGGAGAATATAACCATGCACATGGTTGTTGGATCCATGTTCGATATTTGTGTTATCTAAGAACATGACAAATATAATGTTCCAAAACTTTACTAACAATTTTGAAACGACCTCCTTGGCCCAAAAAGATTAGAGAGGATAACAAAGCAGTCTTCTTTTTTTTGAACTTACAAATTACATATTTCAGTGAAGAGGCCAAATTTGATATTGGATTCACTACTCCCCCTGCAGTAGACTAGTTTCCAACTAGTTCACTGGATAATAATGAGTAATTAATTAATTATTACAGTATAGTAACACATTATTCAATTTTAGGTTATAAGTGATGACTAAAGGACTACACATCAGAACCTACAACCTGATTATATTCCACCACAATATAAGGCCTAATGTTTCACTCTCCCAAACAGTACTAATTAGACATGAATTCAGTAAATCTAGTGTACTATAGAAGGTTTGTTTGGTTTATAGCAAAACCACATTGGTCCATCTGCTGTATTCACCTCAAGGAATCGAACCCCAGATTTTTGCGTTGCAAGTCTGTAGACTAATCAAAGAATATATTGGCCAATTAAATTACTAGCTAGTCTTCTGAGTAACAATGAATAAATAATTGTTACAGTAAAATCACGTTTTTCAAACAACACCTTGAGTATTTTAGGTTATTGGTCATCAGTAAAGGACTATATATATATATATAAATACAAAAACAGCCTTCTGATAAACGTACTTCCACTTGATGTGTGAAACAACATACCAAAGTCACAAAATTCTACTCAAGTCTTGAGATATTTAGAGCAGCCTTCGACAAACATTTTCATCTTTAGGAGCTAGCTCAAAAAGTCAAGAGCCGGGTGTGCCTAACCTAACCTCATTACTGTTTGTACCGGGAAATGGGGGCTACATATATTTATTTACTTTCACAGAAATGAGTGACATATCATCAACAACCACTTTATAATGTTGCCTGAACTAACTACTTTTGTTCCTGTTTGAGTCTAAACACTTGCACTGACTGGTTGAATTGAGAGAAAGAAAAACAAAATGGAATGTAATTCATTTATGAAAAAACATGAAGTGTTGAATCTGCCATTAAAATCCTAGAAACAAAGTTCAATTTAGGACTCAAAGGATAAAAAGTGTTCTTGAATTTCTAGAGTCCAGAACTGTTCTAGATTCGAGTTCATTAAAATCCTAGAAACAAAGTTCGATTTAGGACTCAAAGAACGAAAAGTGTTCTTGACTTTCAAGAGTCCAGAACTGTTCTAGATTAGAGTTCATTAAAATCCTAGAAACAAAGTTCGATTTAGGACTCAAAGATTGTTCTTGACTTTCAAGAGTCCAGAACTGTTCTAGATTCAAGTTCTATTTAGCACAGCCTTATGCATGAATAAAATGGGAAAAAATACTAGGTGTCATGATGAAATTTTTAGTTGCCATGGGAACCTGAAGCCCAGGATTTGTCAAGGTCTGGTTTAGAGGCAAACATTTTTTCACTTTGTCTTTGAAAAATTTTCAGCTAATTATATAAAACTCATGAAATAATAATCTCAAAACTTACGTAAGCCCACTTTCCATAAACTTTGCTACAAACACACAGTTAAGACTTCTAAGATAAAGGTACAAAACCTTATATAAAAGTGATTTTCCTTTTTGATACATACTTTTATTGGTCATTTAAAAATAAAAAAAAAGGTATAGGTAACCAATAAATACTGTGGCACACTTATTACTCAATCACCTGTGTTATAATTGGCTAATTCACAGATGGCCAATTGGCAGCCCATGGTCCAGATCTGGCCCTTTTTTTAAATCACATTTTATTTTGGCCAAATTGGCAAAATAGAAATGAAACAACAACCAAGCAAACCAGTCCTATGATGGTTCTGAGAACCTTTTTTGAAATGTTAACTTGGCTATTTATTCAAAACCATATAATTAACTGAGGGTCTACAGTAGATAGTAGGAATTAAAACTTAATTTAAACTATTCTGAACATACTTTACCAAGTCGTATATTGTTCTGGCCCACAGTATATGTAAGAACAGCGCCCTGGGATAGTTCTATTTTAAGATAAATGATCAGCTAAATGTGAATTCTAATTAGATGAATGGCTCACATGGGTAAAACTTGCGTTTCTCCCTTTCCAGTGATCTTTATGTCTAACCAAAACATGCCTGAAAATATTAAATGTGTTACTGCCCTCTTTCAATGGCAACTAATACTCAGCTCTTTAAAGAAATCTTTACTACTTAATTGTATTCAGTATCAGTCTACTTGTCATTATACCCATAAATGGTTACTGTAAAATAGCTGAAAACTCATGGAACTCTTAATGTATAGAATTTACTATGTTGTTAGCATACTTCAAAATTTAACATAAACATTATAAGTATTAATCACATTTGAAATAAGAAAAAAAATGTTCATATATTTCTGTCATGAAATATGAAACTTTATTTCAACTATACAAATTCAAGCATTGTAACTGAGCCATACTTAAAGCTGTACAAAAAAAACTATATAAAGAAACTACTCAAAAATCACTTGGAAGTTTGCGCTTCAGATTCTGTCGGCCGAGGAGATTTTGGAGAATCAGGTTTAGCTTTCTCTGGAGTAATGGGACCTAAGTCTAATTCCTCAATAAGCTTTTTCTTCCCATGAGGAGGAGGCCCAATTAAAGCTTCAATATCTAAATAGTTCAACGTCTCTCGCTGTAAAAGAGCTTCTGCCATCTGTACAACAAAAATGACACAAGATCTAAGCTTTGGTAATGAAAGTAAAAATATAACTTTAACTCAATCATATTATGAAATAATAAATATTATATGTTCAGTAATTATGCAAGTTATGACTTGTACTAGTTTGAAGATGTATAATCAAAAATATATTTACCAGTTTCAGTTTGTCCTTATTTTCACAAAGTACCATTTCAGTTTTTTTATAAGCTTTGGCTACTAATAATCGGGCTTGCTGAAAAAATGTAATGATGTAATTCATATTAACTTTTCAGTTTGTGGTTTTACAATTAGTACACAGATATATACCCTTTATATTTATTTATCAGTTATTACTTAAATATTTTCATTAACTAAATTTTATGATAATCTATATAATTATCAAAAGTAGAATAAGCCCAAACTTACAAAAAATAAAAATTATTAGTTCTATCAATGTGATTGACAATAATTCCATAATATGTATATCAAGTTGTCAAATACTGTGGTATGAGAAGAGAATCAGTCTTATTTCTTTTGATGAATATTTCAATTTATATGGTCTTAACTTTGGTTAAGAAAAACAACAGGTGTGTGTGTATATACATATATATATAATTTTATGTAGCAAAAGAAACTATCGAACTTACTGATGATCAAATTTTTAAAATTGTTTCCAAATATTAATTTGTTTTAGCTCTGAACATAAAAAACTATCAACAACAAACCTCATCCATTACATTAGCCAATTTGCGACTGAAAGGCTTTCCTCCAATAAAATTCTTGGTTTCTTCTTCTGTTGGAAAAGCCAGGAGACCAATATCTTCATTCATGCCATACTGTTTGATCTGGGCATAGGCCATCTTTGTGACCTTCTTCAAATCATCTTGAGCACCTGAAAGAAGTCAAAAGCCATGGAATTATATTCTGAACAGCATAAAGATCAGAGAGGAGGAGTGTAATTCTTCCATTTTTATTATAATGGTGGTTATTACACATTTTCTCCTTCCATTAAGCTGTTCTTACAGGTTTGTGACAATTAGGGGGCCTGAATGCCAGCCTCAGACAAAAACCTATACTTACCCCTCGTGGACTATTTGAAGTAACCTGTTTCTTAATTTATTCATGTTATAATTTTCACTCTTTCTTTTATGTTTCATTAAGAGTAACTATCCTTCCATAACCTAAATTTATAGCAACCATTCACTATTTGAAACAAATGTTATGGTTTTCACTCTTTCTTTTATGTTTCATTAAGAGTAACTATCCTTCCATAATTGTTTCAAATAGTGAATGGTTGCTATAAATTTAGGATGTTATGGTTTTCACTCTTTCTTTTATGTTTCATTAAGAGTAACTATCCTTCTATAATTGTTTCAAATAGTGAATGGTTGTTATAAATTTAGGATGTGTTTAACCGACATCTGTTCTCTTTTTTTAGTTTTAATTTCATTTCACAGTTAAGGCTGGAAATAAATCTAATAAATAATGTGTGCCCACTACTACCCCCCCCCCCCTTATTTTAGTACATTTAACTATTCTCACATTATGGGTTGTGCCAAAGATATATTTAGCTGTCCATAATGTACCATACTTTTTTTTTGGCTTAAATGTCTGTAATTTTAATGAAAATCTCCAAGGCAAAGTGATGTTGTTGAGTGACACTGTTTATTTTGTGAAGTACTTGCACGATGTCAAAATGCCCTTGCTGAGTTACAATGTTTACCTTCTGAAATACTCGCATGACATCAAAATGCCCCTGGAGAGTTACAGTGTTTACCTTGTGAAGTACTTGCACAATGTCAAAATGCCCTTGCTGAGTTGCAATGTTTATCTTGTGAAGTACTCGCATGACATCGAAATGCCCTTGCTGAGTTATAATGTTTTTGTTATAATGATTTTGAAAGAAGTTCAATTATTGGCTAACGGAAGTGTGGAACTCGTTACATGATATAATTGTTACGTTCGGCCACATGCAATCAAATGTGCTAAATATTAGTTAACATAAAGTTCAAGGTGACCAAGAATACAATCAAAGTTAGATGATAATTCAATTGTTAGGATTGTGGAAATAGTGCAATAAACTCAGACTTTATTACATTTACACCCAAGGCTATTGTGAATAATTATAAGTGAAGTCAATGAATAAAACTCTCCCTGAATAACTATGATACACAAACCACGTGTCACTTCAAAAAAAGAGAGAGGTTGGAATGATTTTGCTTATCAGCACTGAAACCTTCAGTATTGTGAAGTAATGATGTTCGTTCCATTCAGCTTTGAAAACTGAGGCCAAAAATGAGTCATATAGGTAAGTAACTCAACCACGATCGTGTTGTACCAACTGTGAATAACACCAGTTGGTGGAAGTGTTATGTTGTGAGCTAAGCATTTGGTGTCTGCATATCTAAACACTCATGGATATAAAAAGAAGTTACATATTTCAAGAGTAATAGAAGTTTTATTATTTATTTTTTCATTATCATGCTAGTGTCCTTTCAGCATGATTATGCCCTGTTCCACAAAAAAAGTAAAATCTGGACCTGGTTTCAAAAATATTAATCATATCAACATTCCAGTACTACCCACCAAGATTTAACCCTAAAGGACATTGGTCTGTTTGTTTAAGGGCATAGTTACACAATGTGCTATGTCTGCTGTGGGATTCAAACCAAGAACTTTAAGTGTTATAAGCCCTGAAGCTTGGATGATTTTCTTTAAAATTATACAGTTAAGCTTATTACTAATTCTGTAAGCATATGTGTTTTTATAGCACTGTAAGTGTTTCTAACCGTAAACATTTAGTTGAAGTTGGCAGGAAACTAACAGTAAGCATATGTGTTTTTATATCACTGTAAGTGTTTCTAACCGTAAACATTTAGTTTAAATTGGCAGGAAACTAACAGTAAGTATATGTGTTTTTATAGCACTGTAAGTGTTTCTAACTGTAAACATTTAGTTTAAGTTGGCAGGAAACTAACAGTAAGCATATGTGTTTTTATAGCACTAACTTTTAATGATAGCCTAAAGTGAAAACATTTTGTACCTATTGTATAGTTTTCAAACTTTACAGGCAGGAAAAAAATTTTTTTAGGGATATTTAGAAAAATAAACTATGAAAAATTAAAGCAAGCATTCACTTCAACATGAAGACTGACAATCAAATAATAATCATAAAGACATTTTAAAATAAAGTATTTGTTAGTGGTAAACAAGGTTATTCAGATAGACTATAAATCTTTCATAACTGATAATATCAGGTTAATCATTTGCTGTCTGAAGATGTAGATGATGATGTATTATCCTTCCTTATGGTGACTTTCTGAATTCTTCGTTAAAAAAACATCAATATTACCTAAATTATTTCCCACTCAATCCAACATCTCAAGACTACTGGCCATAAAACATTTTTACTTTTAGGGGCTTTTATAATTACTTGTAAAATTTTAGAGATTGGTAGAAAGGATATAAAAATTATATTGGGGTTTGAACATCTTGTTCATATTTTATTCAACCTTTATAGTTTTTCAACATGATGTTGAAGCTTATTTGTAAACCTAAAATGTTTATGACAGAGGTTTTCAAAACTTCAATATATCAGTTTAGCACAGAAAGTTGATGAAATTCACAATCTTCAATGGCCCCAAAATTTTTTATTTTTATGTGATTAAAAAGGCTTAAATAATTCTAACACAGCATATTAATGCATTGATACTTGATTGATTCTACGTAGATACACTTATCTTTATAAATGGTAACTTTTACCTGTAGTGACTTTGTTGAATATCAAAGACTCGGCAACTCTTCCACCTAAAGCCATACACATACGTTCTAATAACTGAAAAATAGAGAAAAATGAATGTATTACTTTCAAGTGTAACAAATATATTCTACAGTTTTTACCAACCTTCCAATACTTATTGTTTTCCATGTGAACATTATTATTATAATTATATAAATTCAATCAGTTTATTGCAATATTGATAAACTATAACTACATACAGGGTATACCTAAAGAACAATGATTGATCAACACTTCCAAGTCAACTAAATAATGCTTCTAGCTATGAAAAACTTATGATGCCTTTCATTCAATACTAGAACTCAGTAGCTTGAACTATTCTGTACCAAACAATGGATCAATAAGTCTTTCATTCAATAACAAAACTCAGTAGCCTGATCTTTTTTATACTAAACAACTCATCAATGTGTCTTTCATTCAATACCACAACTCAGAATCAGTTGTTTAATACAGAATAGATGAAGCTTCTGAGTTCTGGTATTGAATGAAAAGCTTTTTAATCAGTTGTTTAATACAGAATAGATCAAACTACTGAGTTGTGGTATTGAATGAAAAGCTTTTTAATCAGTTATTTAATACAGAATAGATCAAACTACTGAGTTGTGGTATTGAATGAAAAGCTTTTTAATCAGTTGTTTAATACAGAATAGATCAACTACTGAGTTGTGGTATTGAATGAAAAGCTTTTTAATCAGTTGTTTAATACAGAATAGATCAACTACTGAGTTGTGGTATTGAATGAAAAGCTTTTTAATCAGTTGTTTAATACAGAATAGATGAAGCTTCACACATTTTTGTTTATAAGTAAATTTTCAAAGATTTCCTTTATACTTTTTTGCAATTGTTTAGGAATACAGAATAGATCAACTACTGAGTTGTGGTATTGAATGAAAAGCTTTTTAATCAGTTGTGTAATACAGAATAGGTCAGCTACTGAGTTGTGGTATTGAATGAAAAGCTTTTTAATCAGTTGTTGTAATACAGAATAGATCAGCTACTGAGTTGTGGTATTGAATGAAAAGCTTTTTAATCAGTTGTTTAATACAGAATAGATCAAGCTACTGAGTTCTGGTATTGAATGAAAAGCTTTTTAATCAGTTGTTTAATACAGAATAGATGAAAACTCATAAATGAACAAAACTATTACTTTCTGGTAGTTAAAGTGAGAGTAGATTTAAGTGTCCCTTAACTGGGGGAGGGGGACCTCCCTTCCTTCCAAAACCTATCAAACAAACAAAAGTAGGAAGTTTTGGAAGGAAGGGAGGTCCCCCTCCCCCAGTTAAGGGACACTTAAATCTACTCTCACTTTAACTACCAGAAAGTAATAGTTTTGTTCATTTATGAGTCCTGTAAGGCAAACAAAAGTAGGTTTTTCTGTTTGAAAATGTTAAATGATTTACATTAAAATGGTCGTTAAATATGTACTAAACTATTTTCCAAAAATAAGCAAGCTTTATTTTGATCAAATCCTGAACATACTACTTAAGCATTCTTTGATACTGGAAAAGAGCAAGACAGACAGACAATAAAAATAGCAACATTTTTTACAACTCTTTAAATTATTATTTCTCTTAAGCTATAACACAAAGGTTGATGTAGTTAGAATTTGATCTTTAAACCAGTACCACTATTTTTGATTGGTTTGTAGACTATACCTTAGAGAATAACAGTTCCGAAGAAAGTACAAATTTTGTACAAAACAGTTTTACTGCTCAAAACATGATGCAAAGGGGAAAAGTGGGAAAGGCATCTGTTTTTAAATGTATCACACAAGAAAAAGCTTATAAAAAAAATCAAAACTGAAAAGCAGGCTTGTATAAAATTTTAAAACACTAACATTACTTTTGTTATTTTTATTTAGTGTACTTAATGTCAAACTGTTGCACGAAAAAGAGCTCTCTTCTTATATATGTGATTAGAAATCACATAATAGATATTAAAAAAAAAACATGTTTTAAAATTTCAAAATAAGCTTTCTTTAATCAGAAAGGCTCAAATAATCATAACCTACAATAAACAAACCTGACACTTCAATGGTTAACATGATGAGAGAGTTAAAACAGGCATTCAAGCAGTTGGTTTGTTTGTTGAATTTTGTGCAAAGCTATTCAAGGGCTATCTGAACTAGCCATCCCTAACTTAGTAGTGATAGAATAAAGGGAGGTAGCTAGTAAACACCACCCACCACCAACTCTTGGGCTACTCTTTTACCAATGAATAGTGGGATTGACTGTCACATTAAAACACCCCCACAGCTGAAAGGATAAGCATATTGAGTGATAGGATTCAG